AAGTATATTATATTTTCCTTTTACAGCTGCAGGCTGAGGAAGATCCTGAAACACGCCAGCAAACCCTAAAACAGACAACAGTTTACAGATGTTTTTCAGTGGCAGCAGAACTATGACTAAACTTTTGGGTGAAACTTGTTTACTTTTTTCATACTTTTATTTCTTGTGGGAAAACTTGAAACACTTTTAAATAAAGTATAAAGAATGGCATTGGTTTAACGTTATTAATAAAAATGTTGTTCAATTAGCATGTTTTTGTGTTTTGCTTTGGTACCGAAATTGGTACCGAGAACCGTGGATTTTCACTGGTATTGGTATCGAATACTGAAATTTTGGTACCGTGACAACACTAGATTTTACATTAAAAAAATACCAGCTCAAAAGAATGATTCATTCACAGACCAGACTGATCCAGTCACAGCGGTTTTTGGGAGTTGACTCACTGGAGGGGAAGATTAGCAGCAAATTACTTAAATATTGGTTTGCTCATGCATAATTTGTTTGAAACTTGATTTCAAAGGGGATGTTGAGCTTTTTTAAAACACAGACAGTCTACAGTGTGCATATATTAATGCAACATGAATTTGCATGAACTGAAATGTCAACGGTTTCCCAGCATTGCACAAAACTAGCGTATGAGGCTGACCATATGCAAGTGGTTGACTTTGTTTTAGAGAAAAATTTATATACCGTAGACTTCCCACAGCTCACAGACAGGCGTTCTCTTTGTGTGCAAAGCAACCGGGCCAAATAACTTACGAGCTTGTCTTCAACCTAAAAAAACCCAGACTTTCGGTTCCCTGTTTGCTACTCAAAATAAATCACGCCACTTTGTTCTCACGCAAAGGTCCCGCTGAAACATTAATCTTATAGTACAGCAATACACTGAACCATGACTAATCCGATTTTGAATTACACAATAGCTATTTCAAAAACTATCTCTGCTGGGAAAAAAAACTAAATTATAGGCCCAAAAACCCCAGAAACATTTTTATTGTCAGAATAAACTCAAATTATTGTATATATTTTTATATTTACCAGCTCAGGCATTCTCTGAATATCAGACTCATGTACACCAATTAAACATAATCCTTTTTAAATGGCCCAATAAGTGTCAAATCACAAGATAAAATCATTTAGTAATCCAAGGAAATTTAAACCCTTTTTTTAAATGAAGATTCAAACTAAACCTTTTGCTAATCGCAACTGAGGTATTCTGTGTCAAAGGCTGAGGGGTAAGATCCTCATGTTTGAGCGTGACCGAATGAACGTGCTAAAGATGTTGATTCAGATGCGAGTTCACATCGGCAAAATGACCTTGTTCTGATTTTGTCTGCTTTCCCATGCACTGGTTATGCAATAAATTCCTATGTTAGAATGGGGCACATTTCCTCTTTAACCCAAATTAATTTTAGACGTTGCAGCTGCATGTGCAGCATCCTGTAAAAGCAGTGGTAGAAATGGACTCAAAGAGTTGATTCCTCAATTAATATTAGTTCTAGTATCAAAGGTAAGTAGTACAGGAATTGATTCTTTAACATATGAGGCTATACCCTGTTGACAGGATGTTGTGTGGTTCAGAATGGCACAGCTCTAGTTCTGAGGGATGACTTACAGGTCAGCAGCTGTGTGGTTGTGATGTAGGGGTTGGTTTAGTGTTGCAGGGGGCTCTGCTTGTTCACCAGGTCCTTCTTCACGAGACTGTTTGAGGAGGTCAAAGAGCGGAGAGTCCTGCACAGAAGAACAAGATGTTGAGTTACATCACTGATCCGAAACTGAGAGCGCCTTATAAAGAGGAACTGATTAGCGGATACAATGCGTGTTATACTGAATGAGGCACTGTTTGTAATTTCCCTTGAACACTATGTGATTAATAAATTCATTTATATATTTCATTCCCAATTTTTTTTTTTTATAAAGTAAAAAACTAATTATATTAAACTATAAAAGATAGAGAAAAAAAAATCAATAAAAATAATAAAATTTTTCCTTGGTGATTTAATAATTCACACTTCAAACAGTTAATCCCTGAAAGATAATAAACAACAGAATTTTAAGAGGAAAAAAGGTAAAAGATTTATTTATTTTTTTTTTTTACATTTGTAAGCTTTTTACTCAAATAATTTCATTCAAATAACTGGTTGGCCAAAAAGTATAATGAACTTGATTTACAAGCTGAATGAGTTTGCATAATGTGTTATATGTATGATGTCACGTCGAGTTAAATGTGTGAACTTTGGACTGGCAATCCCTCTTTGTAAGTGCCTAGGAATCAATGAGCAATGTGCTCTTGCACACACACACACACACACACACACACA